GCCCTGGTACAGTCCCACCCACACAGTGCAATATTCAGCCCAAGTACAGTCCAACCCACCCACTCAGTGTAAGATTCAGCCCTAGTACAGTTCCAATCACCCGCTCAGTGCAAGATGAAGCCCTGGTACAGTCCAACCCACCCACTCAGTGTAAGATTCAGCCCTAGTACAGTTCCAATCACCCACTCAGTGCAAGATTCAGCCCTGGTACAGTCCAACCCACCCACTCAGTGCAAGATTGACTCCTAGTACAGTTCCAGCCACCCACTCAGTGCAAGATTCAGCCCTGGTACAGTCCAACCCACCCTCTCAGTGGAAGATTGACTCCCAGTACAGTTCCAGCCACCCACTCAGTGCAAGATTAAGCCCAAGTACAGTCCAACCCACCCACTCAGTGTAAGATTCAGCCCTAGTACAGTTCCAATCATCCACTCAGTGGAAGTTTGACTCCTAGTACAGTTCCAGCCACCAACTCAGTGTAAGATTCAGCCCTGGTACAGTCCCACCACTCAGTGCAAGATTCAGCCCAAGTACAGACCAACCCACCCACTCAGCGTAAGATTCAGCCCTAGTACAGTCCCACCCACACAGTGCAATATTCAGCCCAAGTACAGTCCAACCCACCCACTCAGTGTAAGATTCAGCCCTAGTACAGTTCCAATCACCCACTCAGTGTAATATTCAGCCCTAGTACAGTTCCAGCCACCTACTCAGTGCAAGATTGACTCCTAGTACAGTTCAAACCACCCACTCAGTTTAAGATTAAGCCCTGGTACAGTCCCTTCCACTCAGTGTAATATTCAGCCCTAGTACAGTTCCAGCCACCTACTCAGTGCAAGATTGACTCCTAGTACAGTTCAAACCACCCACTCAGTTTAAGATTAAGCCCTGGTACAGTCCCTTCCACTCAGTGTAATATTCAGCCCTAGTACAGTCCAACCCACCCACTCAGTGCAAGGTTCAGCCCTAGTACAGTTCCAGCCACCCACTCAGTGCAATATTCAGCCCTAGTACAGTTCCAGCCACCCACTCAGTGCAAGCTTCAGCCCTAGTACAGTCCAACCCACCCACTCAGTGCAAGATTAAGCCCAAGTACAGTCCAACCCACCCACTCAGTGTAAGATTCAGCCAAAGTACAGTCCAACCCACCCACTCAGTGTAAGATTCAGCCCTAGTACAGTTCCAATCACCCACTCAGTGCAAGATTGACTCCTAGTACAGTTCCAGTCAATCAGTGTAAGATTGACTCCTAGTACAGTTCAAACCACCCACACAGTGCAATATTCAGCCCTGGTACAGTCCAACCCACCCACTCAGTGTAAGATTCAGCCCTAGTACAGTTCCAATCACCCACTCAGTGCAAGATTGACTCCTAGTACAGTTCCAGTCACTCAGTGTAAGATTGACTCCTAGTACAGTTCAAACCACCCACTCAGTGCAAGATTGACTCCTAGTAAAGTTCAAACCACCCACTCAGTGTAAGATTCAGCCCTGGTACAGTCCCACCCACTCAGTGTAAGATTCAGCCCTAGTACAGTTCCAATCACCCACTCAGTGCAAGATTCAGTCTTTGTACAGTCCAACCGACCCACTCAGTGCAAGCTTCAGCCCTAGTACAGTTCCAATCACCCACTCAGTGCAAGATTCAGCCCTGGTAGAGTCCAACCCACCCACTCAATGGAAGATTGACTCCTAGTACAGTTCCAGTCACCCACTCAGTGCAAGATTGACTCCTCGTACAGTTCAAACCACCCACACAGTGCAATATTCAGCCCAAGTACAGTCAAACCCACCCACTCAGTTTAAGATTCAGCCCTAGTACAGTTCCAGCCACCCACTCAGTGTAAGATTCAGCCCAAGTACAGTCCAACCCACCCACTCAGTGCAAGATTCAGCCCAAGTACAGTCCAACACACCCACTCAGTGCAAGATTGACACCTAGTACAGTTCAAACCACCCACTCAGTGCAATATTCAGCCCAAGAACAGTCCAACCCACCCACTCAGTGTAAGATTCAGCCCTAGTACAGTTCCAATCACCCGCTCAGTGCAAGATTCAGCCCTGGTACAGTCCAACCCACCCACTCAGTGGAAGATTGACTCCTAGTACAGTTCCAGCCACCAACTCAGTGTAAGATTCAGCCCTGGTACAGTCCCACCCACTCAGTGCAAGATTCAGCCAAAGTACAGACCAACCCACCCACTCAGCGTAAGATTCAGCCCTAGTACAGTTCCAATCACCCACTCAGTGCAAGATTCAGTCTTTGTACAGTCCAACCCACCCACTCAGTGCAAGATTCAGCCCTAGTACAGTTCCAATCACCCAATCAGTGCAAGATTCAGCCCTAGTACAGCACAACCCACCCACTCAGTGTAAGATTCAGCCCTAGTACAGTTCCATTCACCCACTCAGTGCAAGATTGACTCCTAGTACAGTTCCAGCCACCAACTCAGTGTAAGATTCAGCCCTGGTACAGTCCCACCCACACAGTGCAAGATTCAGCCCAAGTACAGACCAACCCACCCACTCAGCATAAGATTCAGGACTAGTACAGTTCCAATCACCCACTCGTGCAAGATTCAGTCTTTGTACAGTCCAACCCACCCACTCAGTGCAAGATTCAGCCCTAGTACAGTTCCAATCACCCACTCAGTGCAAGATTCAGCCCTGGTACAGTCCAACCCTTCCACTCAGTGGAAGATTGACTCCTAGTGCAGTTCCAGCCACTACCTCAGTGCAAGATTAAGCCCAAGTACAGTCCAACCCACCCACTCAGTGTAAGATTCAGCCCTAGTACAGTTCCATTCACCCACTCAGTGCAAGATTGACTCCTAGTACAGTTCCAGCCACCAACTCAGTGTAAGATTCAGCCCTGGTACAGTCCCACCCACACAGTGCAAGATTCAGCCCAAGTACAGACCAACCCACCCACTCAGCATAAGATTCAGGACTAGTACAGTTCCAATCACCCACTCGTGCAAGATTCAGTCTTTGTACAGTCCAACCCACCCACTCAGTGCAAGATTCAGCCCTAGTACAGTTCCAATCACCCACTCAGTGCAAGATTCAGCCCTGGTACAGTCCAACCCTTCCACTCAGTGGAAGATTGACTCCTAGTGCAGTTCCAGCCACTACCTCAGTGCAAGATTAAGCCCAAGTACAGTCCAACCCACCCACTCAGTGTAAGATTCAGCCCTAGTACAGTTCCATTCACCCACTCAGTGCAAGATTGACTCCTAGTACAGTTCCAGCCACCAACTCAGTGTAAGATTCAGCCCTGGTACAGTCCCACCCACTCAGTGCAAGATTCAGCCCAAGTACAGTCCAACCAACCCACTCAGTGTAAGATTCAGCCCGAGTACAGTTCCATTCACCCACTCAGTGCAAGATTGACTCCTAGTACAGTTACAGCCACCAACTCAGTGTAAGATTCAGCCCTGGTACAGTCCCACCCACTCAGTGCAAGATTCAGCCCAAGTACAGTCCAACCAACCCACTCAGTGTAAGATTCAGCCCTAGTACAGTTCCAATCACCCACTCAGTGCAAGATTCAGTCTTTGTACAGTCCAACCCACCAGCTCAGTGCAAGATTCAGCCCTAGTACAGTCCCACCCACCGAGTGCAAGATTCAGCCCAAGTACAGTTCACGCCACCCACTCAGTTCAAGATTCAACCCTTGTACAGTCCAACCCACCCACTCAGTGCAAGATTCAGCCCTAGTACAGTCCCACCCACTCAGTGCAAAATTCAGCCCAAGTACAGTCCAACCCACCCACTCAGTGTAAGATTCAGCCCTAGTACAGTTCCAATCACCCACTCAGTGCAAGATTCAGTCTTTGTACAGTCCAACCCACCAGCTCAGTGCAAGATTCAGCCCTAGTACAGTCCCACCCACCGAGTGCAAGATTCAGCCCGAGTACAGTTCACGCCACACACTCAGTTCAAGATTCAACCCTTGTACAGTCCAACCCACCCACTCAGTGCAAGATTCAGCCCTAGTACAGTTCCAATCACCCACTCAGTGCAAGATTCAGCCCTGGTACAGCACAACCCACCCACTCAGTGTAAGATTCAGCCCTAGTACAGTTCCAATCACCCACTCAGTGCAAGATTCAGTCTTTGTACAGTCCAACCCACCAGCTCAGTGCAAGATTCAGCCCTAGTACAGTCCCACCCACCGAGTGCAAGATTCAGCCCGAGTACAGTTCACGCCACCCACTCAGTTCAAGATTCAACCCTTGTACAGTCCAACCCACCCACTCAGTGCAAGATTCAGCCCTAGTACAGTCCCACCCACTCAGTGCAAGATTCAGCCCAAGTTCAGTCCAACCAACCCACTCAGTGTAAGATTCAGCCCTAGTACAGTTCCAATCACCCACTCAGTGCAAGATTCAGTCTTTGTACAGTCCAACCCACCAGCTCAGTGCAAGATTCAGCCCTAGTACAGTCCCACCCACCGAGTGCAAGATTCAGCCCAAGTACAGTTCACGCCACCCACTCAGTTCAAGATTCAACCCTTGTACAGTCCAACCCACCCACTCAGTGCAAGATTCAGCCCTAGTACAGTCCCACCCACCGAGTGCAAGATTCAGCCCTTTTAAGTTTGTACATTATCATGTTTTAATCTATGTCTCTCTATTGACCCTGATAAAAAATATTTTTTAAACTTTGACATTTGAGTAAGTGAGTGTGGTTTAACACCACTTTGAACAGTATTCCAGTAACATCATGGCGTGTCAGCTTAATGTGGGAGGAAAGCCCGAAGTAATGCAGGTCTCAGACATCTACCACATAGTTGAAACCCATGAGCAAGGGTATTATGCTGACAAACCTAGAAACAAAATGGGGGCGAACCTTGATTCAAACCCACGATCATAGGTTTCTGGCATGCCCAAGGGAATTGCAGTGCCTGAGATGACTGGGACACCCGTGCCACTTCAACACTTGAACATAAACTAACACATATGTCATCAACATTTGCTTGGTAATGAAAACCAGACGATCATGAAATTTTATTAGAAAAGTGTATAAAACATACATTTATTGCTGTGAAATAGCGGTATAGGTTCTACATATGATACAGAAGTTGAAACATAATATTCATGTCAAGGCCTATCCCGGAAGGTCCAATCCAAACTGACATACTTTCATTTCAGCTCTTGGGTGAGTGAGTGAGTGAGTGAGTGAATGAGTGAGTGAGTGAGTATGGTTTTACGCCGCTTTTAGCAATATTCCAGCAATATCACGGCGGGGGACACCAGAAATGGGCTTCACACATTGTACCCATGTCGGGAATCGAACCTGGGTCTTCAGTTCTTGGGATGGGAATTCTGACATCAAAACACTTTTACACTAAAAACAATGAATATACATGCACAACACCTTTAAACAAATACTACACATTACATCATTGTTCAATATTGTGGTCTTTATGATACACTCTTGTGAATTGTTTGCATTCAATATGGCAGTATTATCTAAAAATATAAACTTTATACAACTGAATTATGCTGTATGTTACATTATTGCTAGACCCTTGGTTTAGTCTGTATTAGTAAAGATTAAAGCTACCAGCTTCCACCATTCATGTCAGCAATACATCCTCTATGTAGTGTCAGAAGAGTTATCTCCCTTACACCAAAGCAGCCATCAATAATTGAATATTTTGTTCCTCCTTTTACAGATTCCGATCAGTATTCCAAAAACACGGGAATTAGTTAAGAATGGTTATACAAGTTTGATGTTATGTTTCATTCGCAAATTGCATCTATTGAATTTGGGTTTTATGATTTGTGGACAATGTAAAAGAGATTACACTTCCTAAAATATATGCCATAGTTGGTTTTTACAAACCTCCTCCGTGTTTGTATGTGTATTTATGACTCTAATGAAGACCATTCCTGAAGTGGTTCATATTTTCTCATATTTTCTGATGTGACCTTTGTCGATTCAGTCTTATACAACATATCCTACCATACCCTTTACATAGCTCCTGTCTAGGTAAACATAGCGTTGGTCCTTGATATCAAATGAAAACAAATAGAAAACTGCACAAAGTTTATTTGTGAAGTAAAACACTCACCAAAATTAACATAAGCAGAAAAGAAATATATTATTTGTATAGCCAAAAAGGCCTTTCCAGGTGTCGACATGACTCCATGTTTATTTACATTCATAATTGAGCACCAAAAACTGGATGTGGTATTTTTAACACATTTCTTTGCTGCTGCATATTGGTGAAAAGCTCTATGCTACCTGCACAAACTAGCACTGGAACTAGACTCCCCTGTCTCCAGTGTTCCCTCCCTGTCATTACCCAGCTGGGAAATGATGCGTCCGAATGTTAGTGGGTTAGTTGTGTGATCTGATTGTTCAAGCCTTAAGTAGTCTATGGATATTAGGGCTAAAACTATTGGGACTATCACAACAGCTATAGCATTAGGGACCTACCATTCAGATTCTTATTCTGGTTTTGTTGTTCTTTTACTTAAATTGTTCCATCTAATACTGGAAAGAAATCATTTTGCCTAATCTTTTACAAAAAACAACTGATCGCTGGATATTATAGATGTCCTGCAAAAATTGATTGTTGAAAAAATTGGTTGCTCATCCTTTCAGAGATGGATGTCTTGAAGTAGTGAGGGTATATTAGTGGTCAGTGCCCTCATCAGTAACAGTATCATGAATACTTACAACACATTACGTAATGCATAGTCTGGAACAAACTTTGAGAAGTAATATCAGGTTGTATTTCATCATTGTAGTTTTCTGCAGATTACATATATTTATGTACAGTATAAATTTCTATATTTTCATGCATTTCTCCAAGAATATATGGCAGTGTTTATGTCTTTTGAAATTATTTAACTGTTTTAAGCAAATGAACATGTGTGACAAAAAGAGATAAATAGTGGGTCAAGTCATGCTTATTTAAATCAGATCCTCACATTAGTTGAACTTACTAATAAGTAAATCTGCATCCAGGCATATCAGATTTCTGTATCTCAAAAACAAACATAAATGGATAGTTCTGAATGGAAAATAATAAAGACATTAATTAGATTGACCCCCACATTACATTCATAGCAGTATATCTGTTTTACTAATAAGTATCTTAAAAACAAACATATATCGCCTGTTTCAAATGGAAAATAATTATGATATTCATGAGCTTGACTCTGCATAACATTCATTACAGCATATCTGAATTCCATATCTCAAAAACAAACATAAATGTATAGTTCCAAATGGAAAATAATAAAACACTACATTGCCAGCTCTGTGGTTTATGAGTAATACAGTGATGTCAAATTTGATATTTCAATTGGACATAAACATAATCCTTAGAATTGATAGGTGAGACAGAATAAAAAAATAAAAACCTTTTATCTCAAATTCTTACCATAAAAGGTTATTTTATTTTAACATGGTGGTACAGAATTAAATACCTTTTTCCAAAACGTCTTACCAATTTCTTTTTTCATCGAATGTTATTTCTTTACATACGTGTGTTCATTTGAAAGGCAGCGTTATCAAGTCCCTGCTTTTCAATATTAGGGTATATTTTGGTTATGTCTGTGCCCTTGACATCCCCATTGGCGGGCTTGTCACTTGAGTCACTCTCCATGTCCGTATACGCTTGCAAATCCCCATCCACATCGGGGATGTTGGCAAATGTGTGCCTGAAGATATGTCCTAATATGCCTGCCCCAAAGGAATCTCCCAGCACGTTGATGGCTGTTCTGAATCTGTCCCTGTGAAATAGTATTAGAAATCATGTAATGTACACTCAAGTACAGTTTCTGTCATTTGTTTGTAATTGTCTGAGGTAGGGAGAGAGATTGGATTAACACTGCTTTGAACAGTATTTTATTTAGTTGGCTGTGGGAGAAAACCTAAAGTGTTACATATCTCAAAATTTAACACTTTGGTGGAACTCTGATTTCAGAATACGATTATCAAACATTTATATCTGAGGATATACCATTAAAGGTCATATCAAGAACGATGGTTTGTGAACTTTGACCAAACAATGAAATTACTAACAAGAAGTTGACACTTGCAAATTGGAAAGCAGCTTTCTAGAGCTTTGCAGCACTAGTTTCAAACTGGCAGGTTCCATTCAAGACTAGTTTTGAAAAATATTGTTTCCATATTTGCTACATGAACAAATAAACATTCTGGAATGTCTACAGATAACCAAGATTGTATGGCAGTACACTTTCCTTGGGCTATGGAAAGTCTCTTCTGTTTCAGATGTTATCCCATTGAAGGAGAGGGGGACACTTGATTTTGATGGAATCAGTCGTACAGCCCGTAACTGTCCTTCACAATACCACACGTTAATCTTTTCAAGGTTGCATGATAAGAAAACACATTCTGACTGTCACTTTCCTGATCTGATAAGCGACGCTCTGATTGGGTGGATGCAAGGTCATTCTGACGTGACCCGTGATGGGATGTCCTCAGATATTTGTTTAGTGGTAGCGAGAATTAAGATCTGTTTTTAATGAAATTGTGAAATCTACAAGCACGTGCATGTTTGGTGCAGACAGTCTAATGATCATCATTTGGAGGAATGTGGGATATGTTTCTTTGGTTGATTTCAATTGTACAACTTACAGGAACCAATCAATAGCAAGAATGAGTGTGACATCATTGGTGGGCAGATTGACAGCTGTCAGCACGATCACCATAGTAACCAGACCTGCCTGGGGTACACCAGCAGCACCAATAGCTGCCGCTGTTGCTGTTAAACTGTAAAAAACACATTCTGTTGCATTTCTGAATTTACCTTCGTTTTATAAATGAAATTGTTTTTGATTAAAATTATTCCGCAATTTCTAATAAAAAAGGAAAACCATTTCTTTCCGTCTGACAATGCAAACTGAGGCTCTTTGACTAACTTGCTTGCCATTGAAAGGGGTTTACCATTTAGAGTTACCTGCCCTTGTTGACCTCCGTCTTCATGACATTGGCAGTTGTGTTTGTCTTACTTTGTGTTCTGTTGATTCTGAATTCTCTTTCATGAATTAAATTAGAATATCATTGGCTAACTCCAAATATCTTATTTGCAGATTATGCTATATTTGATATATAAGAATGAGCCTGTTTGAGTTCCACGTATACCTAATGATGATCACTTCAGCTATTGTGAGAATCCGGCCATTGTACTGAGCGATGAATATGGCCGCCACAGCCTCGTACAGAGCAGTGCCATCCATGTTGATGGTGGCGCCGACGGGGGCGACGAAGCGAACAATGTTGCGGTGGATCTTGTTTCTATTCACAAGACACTCCATTGTGATGGGAAGAGTGGCGGAGCTGGGAGTGGAAGGAGAGGGTGGTGAGAAACATTATCACTGGTACCTGCTGACGTAGCTTTTTTTAACAAATGAGTAGACAAAACCTTTAGAAATTGTTATGAAAGTTGAAAGATGAAATGAAAGATGTAATCAGTGAATGAGATTAGGACTGACACACATTCGACATATTGTCTTTTTTAGGTTTCATATGATACTGTACCGTTTTATAATGTCTGCGACACCAATGTTAGAGAAGTAAACATATGAGTTATCTCACCTGAACAGGTACTCAAGTCCCAGATGTAGGCCCTAAGTCTGTCTAAGCCTGACACATGCTCAAATACTCAAGTGTGCACGAGATCCCTACGTGGAATGGACATACGATACACCAGATAAATATGGATGCATTCTCCTAAAGATGACCTTCACCTTGATGCTGTTCCCCATGCTGTGATGATGGCCTTCATCTGGCGGAAGATGAAGAGGTAGGGGTTCTTCCTGGTGGCGATAAAGTAGATGAGGGGGAGGAAGATGAGGCCGTGGATGGCAAGACCAGCCAGGACGGTCAGGAAGTAGTACAGCAGCTGCTCAAACACACGCGTGGGGTCCTCCATCTCGATGAACTTGGTTGCAATCAGGAACATGATACCGAATGGAGAGTACCTGTGGAGGAAATATGCAGATGCAAATTAACAAGTTTTGTATCAGTAATGATAATTCATAAAGTGGAGGGGAACATTGCTTTGAAATATATCTATAACGATACACTTTTGCCATAATATGTACAGTGAAGTCTCATCAGGCCTGATCCTGTTAACCAGGACATCACACCTTTCAGGAGAAGGCAGACAATATGACACTGAAACCATGATTTCGTTAATCCGAACATTGGCAAATCTGGACAATTTAATTTGGATTAATGGAGTTTGTTTGTAGTACAAAAGTCTTAGATATATTTCCTTTGTATTACGTTTGGTATTCATTTTGACTTTAATGCAAATCAATCATGTTCCATGTAAATATCAGTTTTATATAGTTATAAATATATAAATAGTTACTTTTATTTTATATGAGTTTGCTTGTTAAATCTTAGTATTTTTCTCATCTCTAAAACATTGGGTGATTGGGCAAATAAAAATAAATTCAAACTATTTCTGTTTTATTTAATGTAATGTAAATATTAATAATTTGGTCTTAATGATATGAGTGTGTTCATCTGGCAGTGAAAATTCTATTTGCATTGCAACACCAAGGGCTAGGAAGAGACACTAACCAGATGACCAGCTTGACCAGGATCATGGTGGCGGCGTTGAGGGACTCGAAGAAGTTCTTCAGGGGTACTCCCATGGGCCCTAGGTAGTTGATGACGCAGCCCAGGGCAATGGAAAACACAACCACTCCCAGGACGTTGGTGCCACCACCCATCTTGATACTGGGGGTCTCGATGAAAATGGCTGAAATAGTTAAATTTACCATAATTGTTCAAAAGTATGCAATTGTTGCTTTTAAATGTATATTTTGACAATATTAAGTACCAATGCTTCAGATTGATTTGAATACTTATGTGAGTGAGTAATTTCACACCATTTCAGTTGTATCAGGGCATGGCAGCTTGAAGTGTGAGGAATGCCCAAAGTGGGGGTCTTAGATGATTATCTTTTCAGTGAAACCCACAAGGGACTGCCGACAGACCGAGAAACAGGATGATGTGAATCTGGGATTAGAACACTTTTGTGTTAATTTGCCCATTGTCTGAAAATGTTATTGGAATTGTGTTAGATATACAGCGCTCGGGGCCATATTTCTCGGAAAGGGGGGACCATTTTCATTTTTCCAGACATAAATTATTCTGGGGCCCATCTTTCTGAAGCATCCAATAAGGATCACATAACATAATGTAGAAATAACTTAGGAGTTTAAGGGTTTGTCGCTAACAATGATGTACCCTCTGGAAATCTCCAGTTGGCAAATATTCGCCTAAAACATCCAGTGCTTCAGATAATGTTTTGAGCCTTAATATTTATACAATTTTATTTCACACAAAATCATTTTTACTGGATATTTCTACACTTCCCTGGGTATTTTGATCTCCTTGGAGCCAGTGTATTCCGTATTCTAAACTAACTTATAGACATTTTATTAAGATAACTCTACGTTAAATGCTGTTTCACATGTATTGTTCATCTGTTTGTGTGCTGCAACATGTGGAATAAGCTCACAATAATGATGTAGTACTTCAAATAAGCATGATGTGACACTCTTGTGCATTATTCCAAGCAGTATTGTTAATTCGATCAATTGGGGCACGGGTGACCCAGTCATCAAAGGCACATCAGTTTGCTGTGCAGAGTTGGGTCCTTTGGGCCATGCCAGAAACATATGACCATGGGTTTCGAATCCAAGTTTGCCCGAAGTATGTTTCTAGTTTGTAAACAACCATACCCATGCACATGGGTTTCACCAAAGTGGTAAAGCTCTGAGACCTGCATCACAGGCTTTCCCTCGAAATCAAGATGACACTCACTCTTTAAAGGTCAAGGGCGGTCGGGTAGCCTAGTGGTTAAAGCGTTCGCTCCTCACGCCGACGACCCGGGTTCGATTCCCGACATGGGTACAATGTGTGAAGCCCATTTCTGGTGTCCCCTGCCGTGATATTGGTGGAATATTGCTAAAAGCGGCGTAAGACCATACTCACTCTTTAAAGGTCACGTTGGATAATTTCACACATTTTTATACAATTGTATTTTTAAAATTTGCAAGCCACAAACTCAAAATTAATTGGGTAATGGTATATGTATTTGTGTGTATATTTGAAGAAAAGAGGATTGTTTGACCTCAAAGAGATTTAAGTGTTGATTCTGCAATAATGAAATACAATGAAATCTGAATAGAAAAGTTAATTCTTAACTGAAACAATTGTTAAAAATGTCATTCCTTTACAGAATTTCTGCAGCGTTACAAAAAATAAACGTTTTGAATATTTTTTCTCAAAATGTGATCACTTGATCTGAAGACTGCAGCTGCAATTTGCTTCGCAGAGTTGCGTCCCTTTGGCGTACCAGTAAACTAGAGCGTTGCCCTGGTTATGTTTCTAGTTTCGTCAGCACGATTTTCTCCAAAGTGGTAAAGGTCAAAAGACAGCTTTACAGGGACAACATAAGTTTCGAAACATACTGTTTTCACGAAAAATATACTCTCCAAAAAAGTAGGGGATATTAGAATTCAGCAAGATAATTACAGAAATATAAATAGGTGTGGACAATAGATGGAAAAGATCATGTTTGCGGTGTAATGTAAGGGTGTAAACAACCACGAAAGACGACAAGGTGTGTTCTAAGAACAATATACACGTTGGTGATGACTTGATCAATAATGGATCATGTCCCCACGATGTACCAAACATGCGTCTCCCTATGACAGACACTCTTGTAGCGCCTGTACTGGCCCAGTAGAGACTGGCCTAGAGAACGAGCGTTATCGTCTTGAATGACAAAACGTGGACCAACATGACGCCCAAACGTCACAATTATTGGCGTCCTGTGCAGTTCCAGCGACAATACGAAGTGGCGTTCTGGATGTCATAGTGATATATCTGGTATGTTGTCTTATAGGCTATTACGTTGACATTCGCATGACGTTCGTTAGGACTCCCCCAGTAACGTCCACGCGAATCCAGAAAGTCCAGAGTGAATATGGACAAATCAGAAATCGTTCCTGTGAAGATCCGGGTTAGAATAGGTCTTCAGCAACCCATGCTTGGCGACTGCTTGTCGCAGGCTTAAGCGGCGACTAACAGGATCGGATGGTCTGGTTCGCTGACTTGGTTGATGCATGTCATCGTATCCCAAATGCGTAGATCGATGTTCATGATGTCAAACACTGGATAGACTCGATTATTTACAGACCGCCGTCATATTGCTACAAACAAACAATACTACAAACAAACACCTGAAGACTGCATGAAACTATCGGCCAGTTTCTATGCTCTAAACACCGTTTGCATCTGAATAGAATGGGTCGATTTGTTAACGTTGGTACACCACGTGGTCGCCGAACATTCTGATAAGCTGCATGCAAAGGATTTGTAATCGTCTAGTCAGTAACCTGAACTCAGGTGGCCTGGCGCAAACGTTTTGATTGGCTGTTTGGGCTCGATTTCTTAAAGCCTGGTTTCGGATGTGGACTTATGTTGTTGACCTTGGGAGCCCTGTGCCGGGCTGATCATTAACATTTTGTGTCTGCAGAAACTTGTTCCAAAGCCTGCAAATAACAGACCGAGACACATTGAACATATTGGCTATACCTCTCGCTGAGCTCTTCCAGTTTGAAGCATACCAAAAATCCAGATGCGATCATATCATTGTAGACAGCGCATTCCCAATCTGATCACTGGTACTGCATTAAAGTAAAGTAGAGAGCTTACGTGTTAGTGTGGGTAATAAAAATGACAATGTTCGGTTTCACGATCTTTCACTGAGGTGTCAGTCAAGAATGACCCCCTACCCAAGTGCACGGAGGAATGGTCCACGTGCAGTGTTTCAGTTTTGTTGGGGCGTTAGGTTTTGTCTCCGAAATCTTTCTATCTCTGGCAGCCATTTATCAAACTAATCTTTCTCCTGACGACCGACCATAACAATTATATTTCATGATCACCTACTTATTTTAAGAGTATATTTATTTGTACGTCTCTTCTTCTGGGTGAATGAAAGTTCCCGATAAAATGAATCAATACTGAACACATATACAAAGTATTTTGACCCGCGAAGATACGGGGTAGAATAGGTCTTCAGCAACCCATGCTTGCCGTAAAAGGCGACTATGCTTGTCGTAAAAGGCGACTAACGGAATCGGGTGGTCAGGCTCGCTGACTTGGTCGATGCATGTCATCGATCCCAATTGCATGGATCGATGCTCATGATGTCAATCACTGTATTGTCTGGTCCAGACTCGATTATTTACAGACCGCCGTCATATAGCTGGAATATTGCTGAGTACGGCGTTAAACAACAAACCAACCAACAACATGCATTTTGTTACTGATTGTAAGATGATAGCTATCGCCATTGACCTCAGGTCCCTCTTCTTAATGGTTCGTACCCATAAGTAGAATTTCGTTACATTTACATGTATAGTCATGCGATGGTGCTTGTCGTAAGAAGCGCCTAACGGGATCGGGCGGTCAGTCTCACTGACGTGGTTGCTGCATGTCATCGTATTCCCATTACGTGGGTCGATGCTCATGATGTCAGTCCCTTCATTTTGTGGTCCAGACTCGGTTATTTGCAGACCAACGTCATTTAGCTGTGATATTGCTGAGTGCAGCGTTAAACAACAAACAAACATGTATAGTCATATTCCGATGATGTCTCCATGTAAGGGCAATTTTGTTCTCTTACTTAGACATTTTACCAGTTTTTCTCCCAGCTCTTCTGGAACAAAATCTTGTTATCAAGGCATTTTTAATACAATTTGATTATTTGTATTTTTTGTGTTTGCACAGCGTTTTGTGGAAAAAAAGAATGCACTTAAATACAAAAAATGCTACCATATAATTGTGGAAGAGATTTGCGTCTGTAAGTACCCACTTATCAGTACCCACCCCACCGCAACCTATCCAGGGTAGAATAGGTCTTCAGCAACCCGTGCTTGCCGTAAAAGGCGACTATGCTTGTCGTAAAAGGCGACTAACGGGATCGGGTGGTCAGGCTCGCTGACTTGGTTGATGCATGTCATCGATGCCAATTGCGTGGATCGATGCTCATGATATCAATCACTGGATTGTCTGGTCCATACTCGATTATTTACAGACCGCCGTCATATAGCTGGAATATTGCTGTGTGCGGCGTAAAACAAAAAAACAACCAACCAACCCACCGCAACCTGCCCTTCCTCCACGTAAGGAGTGTTTAATGAAGTGGTTGCAAAGTCTCACTCATTCTGAGATTGTATAAACATGTAAATTCCCGACTGCATTATTTTCGTAGCAATATTTTAAAGTACAGGTGAAGTACATACATACACCATTGATGCTAGTTAGATGCAAACGTTTTGTGACTGCATTAGGTTACTGGTGTTTCAATTAATAGAGATGGGTGTCGATTGTGTAAAAACATGTTCACGTGAAACAACGGCGATTATGAATTGGATATCAACAAATCAGCTATACTTCTTAACAAAGTTTGAACTTACGATCAGGTGCCATTGTTGATGTGACGGTGGTGGTCATCGTGCCCATTGTGGTCATGTTGCCTGGGGCAACCGTTGTAATGGCTGGGAGTTTCTTCTCCACCAAGCTGATGACGGTTTCGCCCTACAAATGGTAAATATGTTGTTTTATTCGTACCAATTCAACCAGAAGAAACCTATTGGGTTTCAAGAAGTCGTGAATTTTGAGACAGTGGGTTTGAGAGGCCACGGATGGCGCCTTTGGGCAGGGTCACCGAGTAGATTCTGGGTAGAGTGAGTGAGTTGGGTTTAACGACGCTTGAACAGTATTCCAGTTATATCACGGCGTGTCAACTTAATGTTGGAGGAAAGTCCGAAGTGATTCAGGTTTACCAATTTGGTGAAACCCAAGAGCACGGATATGGTGCTGACAAACTTAGAAACATAATCGGGGCGAACACGTATTCGAACCCACAATCACAGGTTTTGGGCGTGCATAAGGGACGTAACTCTGCATAGGGAATTGTTATTCCAGGTCAGAAGTGGTCATAGTCCGCCAATGCGCGACAACTCAATGGATCGCGTGGTAGGGATCTGTGATTTGGTTGTTTGCGTTTCAAAGTACCCCAACCGCCGCCGTTGCTCATAATATCAATCACGGGAAAATCCCGTTCATCAGCTGGGTCCTATCGCGCTGTTCGTGGTTCCAATTCACATGTTCTTCCTGATTAGGGTCCTTTCGGGTTTCGCGAAAGTTGTAACTGTCCATGACCAGCTTTTGTTTGGACAACAAGTAACATCTTTTAACGTCTTTTGGTATGACGCGGCCTTACACCACCGGGCGGACACTCTTCCACTAGACCACGGAGGCGGTACGTTGTGTTTAAAATTGTTCTGAGGCGGCAGGGTAGCCTATTGACTGAAGTATTCGCTCGTCAAGGGGAAACAATGTCTGGCCTCCCCCGCCGTGATATTGCCGGAACATTGCTAAACCATACTAATTTACTCACTTAAACTTGGTCTAGGATTGCTGTTCAAACCAGGGCCGGGCCGCACGCATGGCTTTATATCGGACACACTGACCGCCCATATATCTCCATACACCTGATAAAATGTGATTGCTGAGGACGCCTTGTGTTAGTTTATTGATCATATACTAGTGTGGATATCTTGAATGAAAATGCAAATTAGGTTTGTTTAGGAAAGATTCGAAGCTGACGGAAATATGCAACGCTTCCGACACTGGCGACAGTGCTTCGATATATTTGTTTTGCATTCTTGAAAAAGAATAAGACAAATAATAATAGCATATCATCTGTATTGTTTATTATTATACTCCTAATGTAATATATTCCTGGAATTTAATTCAACCAATGTGTCTGAGTTTCGAGGAAGCGTTCATCATGAGAGATATAAAATGCAAGGGAGATAACTCTTGTACCCATATTGGGCATGTAACGTAAATCTCTTGCTCCGTGACAAAGGACGAGTGAGTTGAGTTTTACGCCGCTTTTAGGAATAATCCAGCTCTATAACTTCGGGGGGACACCAGTAATGGGGTAATTGTACTCATGGGGACTCAAACGTGGGATCGTTTTAACCAATGCTACTGCAGTACACCTCCCCAGTGATAGAGAAATCTAATTCGGTGTTTGATAACTTACTGGTCAACCGACCTGGTCACCTACCGATCATTTGTTAAAATACATCATTTTTAAGTGTCTATCCGTTTGTGAGGCATTGACAGATATACCCTAAACTATGCCAAACAACCGACCATGAAAATGCATGACGATATACACAGAATCCTTAATATCCACTTGCACAAGGCGACCACATCGCTACAACTATCGTAAGTCTATGTTAGAGTATGGGAGTTACGATCATCAGAGTGTTGTTTCAAATACTGTCGTTATTTGTTCACAGCTCCAAAGAAATTACGAACAACAAAATCAGTTGTAACCCACAAGAATGTCAAAATCGAAAATATATGAAGACAAATGATAATTTAAAATCAAGATATTTAATTGGAGCCCAAAAGTGTGTCTTACCCTTTCGAAACATGCTGTGACTATGTTGTTAGGGAAACAGTTCCTGAAAAATAAAAGAAACTATTAACCTATATAAACACTGACATTTGATGCATTGTCGTGGCCACCTCTTGATTATTATAAGTATAGGGTTGGACGAAACATTTGTTTCTAGAATATCATTTATGACCTAATCAAATCCAAAATGAGTACTGCAGTCTGCTTTTATTTGTCGTGCGGAAGGCATTCTGTTGCTGCGCGTGCTGAAAAAATAAACATGTCAGTTTAGCACGTGCGTATCTTCAGCTTCAGTACCTAACATGTCGGCATTGCAAGGTGAAGTCTCACTGGTGCGACTTTGACTCACGCCAGCGCACCGCTATCTCTCTTTTTCACAATAAGAAAACAATAATCGGGAAACTCTCATCAGTAAATAAGAAGAAATTCAGAATGAACTGAAAGTTAATTATTGTAATGAAATTTACGAAGTGTTTCATATTAATTGGCTGTGTAATGTGATCTGTTTCATGTCATATTGCTGAATCCTCAAAGAGCAATTGTAGGGGAGAATAACATCAATATGTCGGCAGGTTCCAAGATGTATATATGCAGTTTAAATGAATAAAGATATCCTGGTCCCAATGTGTTGCTGGCATTTTTTTAGATTCCTAAACCTTTCGGTCCTTAAAGCCCTTTCACAAATTATATTTATTTTCATTAAACAAATTACTTTAATGCCATGTATATAACTGAGTTTTTATGGTTCGATATATCCTCCCAGAGTTTTAAAATTTAGCAATGGGGGAAAGTTAGCGAAAAGACAACGACCAAATTTATTAAAATCAGACCTTAATACTCGCTATCGCTAAACAACGAGCCGGTAGCGAGAACTAAGATCTGACTTTAATGAGATTTGACTACGGCGGCCTTTGCGTTATATCATAAACTCACTTGGGCTTTTGTCGTGGTGAACTGGAATTAGCCACGCTCGAATGACTGCCTTATGGGCATGTCATGAATTGTTGTTATTGGAAAATATGATGGTTGAACTATGAAATGTGACACTAACACCTGAACGATTAGTTTCCGTGTAGTATATGTATAGAGCCCAGAGAATGTGGATATTAAGCAAACATTCCAGCGGCCAGGATTCTCATTAACATTTTGAGGTCACCCACTGAAAGTAGGAGGAAATTAGTACAACGGTTAGTAAAGGTACTTCAAAGATATGTTTAAACAGTACCTGTGTCGTGGCGCTAGTCGTACAAGGCAAACAGTTCACTATCCACATAGACTCTCCTGGTAATGTTTTAAACATGTGTCTTTGGTCGTGAGTGAGTGAGTTGTGTTTGACGCCGCAAGGACAATATTTCAGTGATATCACGGCGTGTCAGGGTGATACAGAAGCAAATTCAAAGTCCTAGATGTTTATCAGTTTGGTGAAACTTAAAGGCACGACATCCTCGATTATCCATTTCTCATTTCTGTTATAATATACCCTGGATCTATTCGCTGCATAAGCTTCCCTTTGGAAGTGACATCACCACCTCATTCTCACATACATATATCGCGTCCCATTTTAATTCTGTTCAATTTTAATTAACCCAATAGTCCAGAAACTCTACGGTCTTTGCCCAGTCTCGGTCAAAGGTATTTACAAAATTAAACATAATGAAAAAAAAATTGTTCAAAAACTCAATATTTACACAAAGTCGCCCATGGGGGAGAATATGTTCCTTTACTTAAAACTCATGGTTTTGTTTCGCAAATACTTAAATGTATTTCTTTCAAGTATCATGACACAAAATTTAAGTCATTTTAACTTAATTCAACGATTTTATAGCGATATTTAAATATTTCGATTTCGACGATTGGGTTTCCAGAATTAAAATGGGACGTGTTTTTTTGCTATTTTCAATAACATAACATTTACACAACTGTATATAAAGCCGGAAAAAACAGTAGCTGTGCTTTATATAAAGTAGTATAAAAAACAGTAACTGTGCTTTATATAAAGTAGTGTAAATGTTATGTTATGAAACAACTAAGGTGGAAGCTGCGCATAAACAGACATGCACGGATTGTCTCCCCTGTGCTGTAACATATTCTCAACGTTGCTTCCTACCTACTGGTTGTACTCCTTCGACTGCTAGGTGTTACACATGGTTACATGTGTTCTGTGGACACATAGACATACAATACACACACTGTAACATTGTGTGGCCACTCCCTTCAGTATGACGCATGCACTATGTGATACTTTCTAAATGTACGTCTAAATATATATATGGGACTAAAGGTTTATCGATGCTTGTTTTGACATGCTGTCAGGTGCACGTTTTGTGCACGTTTTGTTCACACAGCTGCTCACGCGCTCTCTACTGCAGGCACGTGACTGAATGTAAAGCAGCGTCAAGTAACACATACATTCCTACACACGTAGCCCAAACATCCGGGCAACCACAGACAACACTTGGCTGTGCCATTGGCAACTCGGTGATAGGAATTTAATGTCTCAGGTTCTATTCCGTGCACCAATGACGTTATTGTTAAGTGACTACGGACTGTTATACCCAGAATGTAAATGTGAACATCACGCCAGGAGCAATTCTCAACTTAGCGCTGTCCCATCCGCCAGTAGCATAGATCTACACTGCAAACAGAGTATGTTTATCTGCTGACCTACCGACTGTAAAACCTTGATCATACAGAGTGATATTGTTCCTTCTGAAGAAATGTTCAGACTAATTCGTTTAGTTCACATATTGGTTGTATATTGTATTTGACCTACAACATATACACGTACTGTGTTATGACAGGTCCTCCACACCGTGCTCCATTTATTCCAGGGAGAGGGGATAGATACGGTTGACAGCATAAAACACAATGCTGGGTGTTACGAATTGTTACATACATGTATATTGGTGTGGAGAGACAATATTGAACATATCGCCATACAATGTACACTGTTAGCCTGTACAACACCATAACACGCTTTGGTGAGGTGAAATGGGGTTTAACTTCGCGTCCAAAATTATTGCACTTATTTAGCGACATTCATGCACGTGTGTGTGTTTGTGTGGCTGCTTGTACTAGTCCGGATTGATGCCGATTTATAGTGCTAAGCCCACTGAGATACCATGCCGCAGTTTAACATGAATACCCCACTCAGACACAGTATACTGACTCCGAGCCGACCAGTCCTTGTTTTAGCCCCTTAATGCCGAGCGCCAGACAGGGTTGCAACAAGTACCATCTTTTAACGTCTTTTGGTATGACGCGGCCGGGAATCGAACACCGGACCTTCGCTCTCCGGGTGGACGCTCTACCACTAGGCCACGGAGGCGGTTCATAACACGATTTGAATAACATAGGCTAAATATTGCATTGTGTATACAAATCTAAAAAAACACAATTTAGTAATTTAGTTTTTAATTTACATAAACTTTGCCTATTATCTAAGTTCCTAGTTAAAAAAATCATGTCGCTCGAGAATATAGTCAGCTAGTGTTGTAATGAAATCAGTAAGACACAAGCACTATATCATATACTTTCTATATATTCGTCTAAATACATACAATATGCGACATTATTTGTCCTGTCATATGACGTGCTCTCTACTACATGCACATGGCTAAATATAAAGCCGCTTCAAGTAAACGCATACATTCTTACACACGTAGCCCAAACATCCCGGCGACCTCAACCACCAGTGCGTTTGGATGTCTTTATGAATATCTCGCCTCTGAAATAGTCAGTGCAAACTCTTTCAAATTATGTACAGAGGCTTTGAGTTACTTTGACGCGTTCTTGAAATTGATTTGTGCATATTTTCACAAACAGGGCCGTTAGTTGATATAAGGAATGTAACATCCAGTTGAGGACTGTATACGACATACGTTAGTCTGTTAACGAACTTTTTACAATTCATATTTTGAATAAGCCGTTAATACGGCAGTTATGACAGGGATGATGGTATGGTAGCTGTAGCAGACAGCCGTTGTTACGCGCGTCACTAGGTTATTAGTACGGCATTGACCTTGTTGATTGTAACTATACTTTGAGGATTTCTGTGGCCAGTGGCGGACGTAATTCAAACTCCTTAAACACTGACACCGCATCAAATATATTTGTGTACCGATGACATAACTCTTACTGACAGGGTGTGGTTGTAGTTCACTGTGTAAATTGGGCGGCGCCTTTGATATCGCTTCACAACATACTTTTAATGAATGACCCATTAAACGATGATAAACATCAGGATCGCGGAGAAAATACAAGATTCGTTCTCGTTGAATATATCAAGGCACCAATTCATCTTCCATAAACGTTTTGTTTCCGTGTGTTTTATATGTACACACATCAACGAAAATATGTAATACATGTATCCACACAAAAAATATGTACATATACAGGCTAGGTATTCGCCCACAGCGACACCTGCATAACTGTTTATTCACGCGTGGTGTGGCAGATTGTAATTGAACGAGAGCAGATATTGTAGAATCACCTGTAAATAAGGCCAACACTGTAATTAGATACAACGTACTAATGAGAATTATCATAAGAAGCCTGGTGGTTTTTTCTGAACTGTTCCCATTTTTCATACCAAAAGTGGCAATGCATTTAAAAGTTGCTTTCGTGTTACAATATTCACTCAATCGCCTTTAAACATAATTCCCATTGGTCAGTTCGACATCGCATATAATTAAATAATCATTTCGAGATTTCGTTAGAATGAGAGTTATTCAGCCAGACGTTACGCAGTGAAAGACGAATCGGGTTTTTTTCCATTAAAATACGCACACGCGTACCTGTATATTGCATACCTAGTGTCACTTAATTGCCCAGTGTAAGGTATCAACGAGACATAAATGGGAAATGAAAAAGAAACTAACTAATCTTCAATGTTGTGGAAAATAACGCCAATGAATTGGAGTACACGCGCACGAATTCGTATGATAAACTATCAAAACGTTTTGAGAAGTAAGGCCGGGTACATTAAAGATCGTTATATTACAATATGTAAAAAAGGTGAAATTTGTAAAACTTCCTTAAAGGAAA